CACATGCAGTACTTAGCCCAAAATGCTGGTTATTTTTTTTCATTTCTTATGTTATGTGGTGCGACTGTAACTCGGAATGGGATTAATGTTCGTAACATCATGACGCGGCTGACAGGCGACCACAGGTGCGTGTCGTCTTTCTTCTGAGTCGGTGACATTTATGCAACATTCATTAAGTTTGCCACACACACACACACAATTCACGTCAGCGGACGAAGCCCCAGCCTTATCTTCATTTTCATTACCATCAACTCTTTGGCCTCCGTGTCTGATGTGTTTTATGAAAAGTATTTCGTGCCGAGGCTAACCCCAGTCGATTTTCTTGCTTTTATGAGCTCTTGTCAGGTGTGTGTTTACTTTATGTCAGATCTCAGAAATGTACCCCATGTCTATCTGTGGCCAGAAAGCTTAACGCAACTGCATCACATGCTTCATGAATATGTTGCCTACTTCTGTGCGCACTTGTTGTCATTTGAAAGAACTACAAATATGGCACTTGATTTAAGGACTATTAAATAAACACAAAATATTAAATGCTAGTCAAAGCAAAGCAAATGGACTAAATTGAATGTTGTACTTTATTTGGTTGGACTTTGGGGGTAGACAATGAGCTTTTGCTAACTTTTATTCAGCATAAGCTTGAAATTACCAAATGAGCTTTGAAAGTGGGTGAAAAATGTTAAGCCCTATCAACTCGAACAATAAATTGCCTTGAATTACAATGTTGAGTGACATATACTCTAAAATATCGTAAACTACTGAAGAGCTTAGTTTAAATTACTGAGATACCCTGCATTTTATAACTTTTCATTAAGAATGCAAAGCCTTTTAAGAGAGTAGCTTAGCAGACAAATACCAGTTCACAGCAGCTAAATCAAGCGGCAAAGTCTATAATTTCATACGCGTCGAGCACTTGGCAACAAGATTGGAAAAATATGAATATCACACATACGACACGTTGCACGCGCCAGACTACTTAATTTTGTTGCGTTGTCATTGTGCGTAAATTTCGAAAATCCAGAAAAACAAAGAAAAAAACACTTTGTAAGTCAGCCGCGAGCAATTCATTACTATTTGATGTTGGAACAATTGGAATTTATGTGCCCAGCGGGCCAGGATAATTGACAAGCCGTTGGGCAGGGTGTAGGACGCAGTCCCATAATTCACTCGACTCAATTGCTGGAGCAAGTAAACAAGTTCTGGACGTGTGCTTTACAAGCACGGGCCAAGTGAAAGATATTTAGTTTATTGTGCGTGCTGTGTGAGGAAAAATCGCAGCCAAATTGTGCGCAGCAAATTTCTCGGATGAAAGGTCAAAAGGTGCTGCCCAAATTGGCCAAATGGTTTGCCACTATAAGGTGCCAGTTACTGTCAAGCTGTCAAATCCTTTTACGCACTCGCTTGAAGCTGCTTTAATGTCAATCCTGTGAAACATATTTATCCTTTTAGTGCACCGTCACAAACATCTTTTGCGATTTTCATTTTGCCTTTCTTCACAATAGCTTTGTTGCGCTAAGAATAAACCTTTTCATAAAGCAATTGAATACCGTTTGGTTTCGTGTCGCGCGTATCTCAATGTGCTTTTGTTATAGATAGCACAAAGCCGGAGCAATTGAGGTCCAATTACAGGCCTGTTGTTGCAGTTATAATTGAAGAATTATCGTTATAATTGACTTATTATATGCGTTTAATTGTAAGTAAGCCTAACTTGCATGTTAAGCGCCAATTTTGTGTCCACTTAGATCACAATATTAATATTGACTTTTGCCGACAGCTAACAATTTTTAATTGATTTTTAATTAAAAGAACACAGTCATATTTTTAGTAAATTATATTTACACTTGGCCTAGTTTAATTAAATTTTTTAATACATTAAAAACACATAAGAATTTTAGAATAATATTTCTTGACACTACATCAAATTTAATTAAAATGTAAAAAAATGTATTCATTATATATTAGACAATTAACATAATATAATTATGATACTACTATATCAATTTTATTAATATTTAAAAAAATGCATTCAATTTAAAATATATTAGACAATTATATTTCTTATTCATATAAAATTGAACTAAAATAAAAAGAAATTTTTTTAATTAATTAAAATATATTAGACAATTGGCATAATCTTTCTTATGACACTACATCAAATTTCGTTAAAATTAAAAATTGTGACATTCCCCAAAATTAAATTAATATTTCATTTCGGGCATCATAAATCTTAAATTGAATATCTTTGAAAATGAGTATGCAGTATGAATTGTCAACCTAAGCTTGCCCTTTCATTATAAAGGATATGAGATTCGTAGCTTTTAGGGTATTGGCCGCTAAACATCAGTCAGTTAGTCAGTCAATCAGTTAGTCAGTCAATCAGTGAGTTTTATATGCCATAGCATGCAATCATTTAATTACGTCTATAAATATATCACTTATAGTGCTTGAGGTCGGACAAACAGGCATCTACATTTGCCTGGCTAGATTGACACGGCTGTTAATAACCCCTTTTTACCCAGTATTGGGTAATCAAATAATCAAAATAAGGACATAATTGCAAAAAGCTGCCATATTTTTAGCCATCATATTTAGCCGGAAACGAGGAATGGGACAAGCGAAAAACAGCTAAAAACCATTAACAGAAAATCAAGGCAATTAATTTATTTCCATATTTAAAATGGTGTTTTTTTGCCGAGCACTAATTTCCACTGCTCGTAAAATCCCGTTAAGTGCGCATTAGCTGCTGATGCGTAGGCAGGCGCCATTTTGAATCGCGCCGCTGTTGGAGCTCTCTGGGGAACAAAATCAAAATAAAACCCAAACAAGGCGCGAGTTAATTGAATTTATTGTTGTTCTGGATTTTTTGTTTTTTTTTTTTCGTTTTCTTTGGTTTGACTTGTTTTTGTTTTTGCGCTGCTTTCATGGCCAATATGCTGGGGCCATTTGTTAACATGCGTGTGCGGCGCTCAAAATTTTGGGTATTTTAATTTTCACATGTTTTTGTTTTGTTTGGTCGGTTTTCTTTCAGTCCTGCTTGCCATTGTGTTGCGACTGTAAATTTTCAGCAGATCTTTTTTGCAGGAGCGCAAATTGGTTTTCTTTTTGCAGGCACGTGGCTTGGGGCTTGGCGTAAAGCTTGCCAAGGCTTTTAGGAACAATTTTCACTTCCAACGCCATTTCGCCATTTTGTTAGCTGTTTGTTTGGTGTGTGCGTGTGTGAGTGTGCGAGCGCGTGTTTGTGTGGCTGGCGTCTGGCTTACGTATGTATTTATTTTCATTTGTCTGCATTTAATGTGCGGCCAAAAAAAGAGACGCGCAACAAAAGAGGTTTACTTTTCGACATTTGGCTGCTGTGGTTCCTCGTATTTGCTTTATGGTTATGTGCGGTTTTCTCTTAAAAGGGCCGCTTTAAAAATATTATGCTCGAAATTACCTGTGGCCATAAAAACACATTCTTTAAGCATAAATGTAATTAAATTTTCGGAAACAAAAACAGAAAAACGCCTTTCGACTTTTGCATAATGCTTAAAGCAAAAGTTTTTGTTTGTTTCAGCTTGGCACCATGGATTTTTGTATTCAAATTATCTATTCAAGATTTATAGTTTTTACTTATAAAGGCATTTCTGACCTAAGAAGTTAAAAATAAAAGAGCATTTCTATAGTCCTGTTTATTTACACAAAAATCTACATAAGTGAAAAGGACGAAATCTTTTTATATATTTTTATATTCTTTCGAAAAAATGGTGTACATACGATTTTATATAAGGAGCTTCAAGCTTTTAAGAACTTTTCCTAGATCCGGTAGATCAGCGAACGACCTTAATATTTCTGCTAGGGTATTAAATTTTCAGTTCTCCATTGCGGTTCTCCACTTTGTTGTTGTGCTTTCTTCTCTTGTTCTTTTTCAGCTTTCGAGGAGTATATATAAATCCAACTTGTTGAAATTGCCTTTGCAATGCAAATTTATGCAACCAAAGGTTGCTGGTAATAAACTGTCGGACTCTTTGGAATAAAAGGATAGTACGCAAAGTAGAGGAAAGAAATTTAAGATAAAAGTCCAATTATATTTTTGATAGCTTGATTGTGGGCAAAACTTAAATGATTTGCACTTAAATTGACTTGACTTAGTCTTACTTCATTCACAATTCGATAATTCTGTCTAGTTAAATGCTTCAAATCAAATATGTTTAATGTAAGGGCTTTCGAGATAAATGCTGAAACCTGCGCACATTTGCACGTGTTTAAAATATATACATGGTATGGTGTATCTGTAATTCCCTGATGTAAAGTATAAAACAAACAAATAATAAAATAAATACGCTTTAGCAGCTCAAGGTCGACTTTAATGCCAGCATACTTTAGTCCTTGGCTTTCATTTTGTCATACTTAGCTCTCACAGAGGCTGTTAAAAGGGTGAATGGAGTTCACTTGGTTCAGGTGTTCTATAAAATAAACATACAGATATGTAAATATGTCTCTGCAAAGCAATAAAATATGTGGTCTGGTCGTTGGCAACGTCATGCTCAAAAAATAAATAAAAATTTGGATATGCATGTAAATATGTTGATAAATTTGAATGTATTTCTTTGTTGTTTTATTTTTACTTACATTTCTTTGTAATTATGAAACGGACAATAATATTAAACATTCATATATATCAAGCAGAAATATCGTTGCAGCGATATATCGAATGGATAGTATTGAATAACCTTCAATTGGTAAATTACTTTATATTATCCCTAAACAAATCCAAATAATAATAGTTAAAACTATTTAATTAAGTCGGCTTATTTATTCTTAGTCAATGTACAGTAATATCCACACTTGTTCCTGCATTGTATAGCTTAGAATTAACTTTAATAGAAAAGTTAAAGCTCCCATCTAAAGTCCTTACAAGCCATTAAATTGTATAAAGATGAAGTTTAGCATTGAAATTATATTTGTCGATTAAAGCTTCGAAGCGTTATTCATGGTGTTTTCCCTTTGCTATTTTCTTGCAGATGCCTGCCATCCGTACGAGCCTTTCAAGTGCCCCGGCGACGGTAATTGCATTTCCATACAATATTTATGCGATGGTGCGCCCGATTGCTCCGACGGCTACGACGAGGACATGCGTCTTTGCACAGCGGGTAAGTCCCAGAGACATTGGGTCGAAATTACTTCTGGCTTTCAATTGGAGGTGCCTGCAACGACCAGTTAGCCAGAGCCAGAGCCAGAGTCGGCTTTAATTGTATGCAAACTGTTGGCCATCAGGCTGGCCATAAATAATTTGGTTAGATCCATTGATTTTCAAGCAGAATCAATGCCAAGCAATGGTGAAATTTTGATTTGTGGCTGCCAGTCACAAGCCACAATCCAATTTTCCAAAGGCCCATCAGAATATTGCACTCATGGCTGAGCAGCAGCATGGTCCCGACTGGAGTTGTCAAATGCTTCTGTCAAGAAGGCAGCAGGAAATTAAAAGCCGTATTTCAATTAGGCCCTGTGTATGTGTTTGTGTGTGTGTGTGTGTGTGTGTATTTTCAACTGTCTGTGCCATGTCAAGGGCAGCTGTACATGTGTCAAAGGCCAAAATGACTTACACAACCGGCACACGTATTCGGTTCCATGCATCTCCGGCAACTGGCAACTGTATGGAACTTATAAAGCATGCTGTTGCACTTTCCAAGATTTGTGCACAACTTGTTATTTTATTTTTGGTTTGCTGCTCGCTTGAATCTAATGAAATTAGCCACATAGCTGCAAAGTTTACCAGCGAATCAAATAGTTTCCATTTACTCGTCCATTCGAACGGTCCAACTTCCTGGTGAGAACTGAACGTGTAAGATATGCTACAAAACTTTGACAAGAACTGATGCTTGGTTAAGGGCCAAGCTAATAAAATAATTGAAAATTCAGCACAAGCTATTCCACTTTCAATCGAAGCAGCCATGTTTATTGAATGCCTTGACACATAGAATACTCACTAGACTACAAAAATTAAATATCTTTGCACATAATCTCTCAGATCGATTCGAAAAAGTAAATATTTCTTAACGCGGATAAGCAATATCTTACTCTAAGTTTGTAAGCATTAAATAGAGAGATAGCAAGAGGATGAAGGGATAGTGAGAGAGGGAGAGAGAGAAAGAGAGAGGGAGAGAGCGATAGAGAGAGCAGGAGAGTTTATAAGAAGTGAATATAAAATTAAAATATAAATAAAATAAAAAATTTTATATAATCCAAATACATTTCATGTATTATATTCATGAGAATCGCATAGTAGAGCATAACTCAAAAATAAGTTTGTTTGTTTTTTTTTGTTAATTGCAGAGTCGCGTGTATTACCCGGCCTTGCGCTGGCAGGGTTTTTATGTTATAATTGTAAACACAAACAGTTTTTGTATATTGATAAAACTCTCTTGTAGAATTAATTGCATTTATGACCAGGCAAAACAATGGCGAACAATCAACAAAATAATTAAACAAATTGCACGATAATTAAAGGAAAAATAATTGAATTTGATATTAAGGCCGCCGATGCAAATCTCGTAATAAATATTGTGCAAAGCCCGACGATATATTGTTGCTGGGTGATAAACACAATTTTTGGTACCTAAACTAGTTGAATAAGTAAGGATATATTTTGTAAGAAATTACGCACTGTGGTTGAGCAAACAATGGGGAAAATTCGTTGCTTAATTCTGTGGCGACAGCGACTGCTGGGCAAACAAGCGGCCACGGCGCAGGGAACGAAACTTTAAGCAAACAGAAAATTGTTGCCACTAATTGCCCCAATTCACTTGACTGAAACCTGAAAGTCGCCGGCAGGCGGGTCAGGCAGGGCAGACTGCCCCCAGTTGCTGAGGGCCTTCGCCTTCGCTAGACTCCGTTGCCAGGACACGCAGAGGCCGCAGGGCAAAGTCGAGCGCATTGTGGCGTATATTTTCCGTGCACCATTGTTATTCTACAACAAAACCAAAAGGAAAAGACAAAAAAAAAAAAAAAAAAGAATAAACTATTTTCGACAATGAAATCATTTAGGAAGTGTCGGTCTCGGTCTCGGTCTCGGTCTCGATCTGGGTCTAATGTGCGCGCAAGTTATAGCGCCTGGCTCAAATGTCTTTGATAAATTATGCGCCCCACCCAATGTGGTTCGCCCTGACCAGCTTGTGTGTGGGGCTAAATGGCAAGCTCAAGTTGCCTTCAGTCCGTTTTTTTGTATGCCTGGCAGCAGTCCTGCGGCTTCCTTTGACTTGTTTCCACCTCAGCCAATTGTTGCTGCATTGTACAATGGCATCAAGTGCCATAGAGAGTAGCTTTTCTCATCAGGTGGGGCCGAATGGTGAAAATAAATGTTAAATGCGCTTGTAAATGAATATTAATTAATTAATCTTTGTGGCTTAGAAATACTTAACTGAGATCATGTCTAGAGGGCGCAAAATGAGAATCTAATTAATTCACTTCCCGTTTAAGAATTCAATTAAAATGTATCGAGTAGCTTAAAATGTCAACCGAATGTTGCGGAGCGCTTGCATCAATAAAATAATACAAAAATTTAATGGGAAATAAAATTACATAAATAAAAAAAATTTTATATGTAAAAGGAAAACAAGCGTATTCCATTTCCCAATAAAAAGGAGTAAAACTGCAATAAATATTTAAAAAAAAAGTTGAACGCGCTGCACTTGAATACCCCTGGGAAATTAACATAAATTTGCATACATTTTAACAACAGTTAAAAGTTAACATTGGCGTTTCCCATGAAGTGCTGCGAGTGCTGCAGGGCCAGCGACCAAAGAGCCTGCAAATGTTAGGTGGCCTTATCTTAACTGCTGATATACATCGCCTGAATATGTAACAAGTTAAAGGCAAACAGGCGACACACACACACACACACACACACACATATGCTCGGGGCATGTAAAACTGTGGCGTTCCCAGGCGATATATCCAGACCATATATGCACTGCGTCTCACATAGATGCCAACAGCACAACAAAAGAGCACAAAAAAATAGAAAAAAAATAACTGGCAAACTGCGCCATTTGCATAACAAATACAGCCAGTAACTGAATCAACTCACACACACACACACTCGTATATACACCCACATACTACAGATCCATCGACTACCGTGTCCTTGCAACCATTAAAAATGCCAACAAGCGTCGGTGTATGTACATAGGGGACACTCACCGAGTCTCAAAAGTGCAGCCGGTGGGGTAAAAGCCGACAACGAGCGCTGCAAACTTAACCATTCTTTGACGGACTAACAGAGTAACTGACTTACCTAAAATTGTCAGCAATTTGTCCAAAACAAAAAAAAAAGGCAATAGAAATACAATAAAGGACTAAAGTTCTGGCAACCTTTTATATAAATAGATCAATTTAAAATAAATTGAACGAAACGTTCTTAAACTTGGGAAATTAATATTTAATTGGTTTCTTTGCGAATTCAGTTAAATATTTAAAGAGGTTTCCTCTAAAAACAATCACAAGTCTTTTCCTGAAAGCGTACAAATTGGTTACCAATATATGTCATTTGCTTAGTGATGATATAAACGAGCAATCAATATAAAAGAGTTCGTCTTGATTGACTGATTGACTGAGGAACTGACAGAACGAGGACCAACGCACAGCCTAAGCCGGAGGACATACGAAGCATAAATGCTTTCAGTAGCTGCCTTTTGGGTAAGAGTTTTGAATAGGTCCACTTCCAAGCATTAAAGCAATGCAGTTTAATAAGAATTACTCTCAACTATGAGCGTCGGACTAACGAGCGAGTGGTCGCCGGTTCAAATGCAGCAGCCAAAGTCAATTTGTGTATTTCATTGTTTTATTTGTTTCTATTAACAATGAAAAAGCAATACCTAGACGATTGTTGGCAATTTGGCTAGAGTTTGCCTCAACTTGGCGCGAATTACATGAACTATTTTGTTACTACTGGCACATTGAACATTATTCATTTGCTCTGGGCGACTCCGGGTAGTTTCTTCTCTTTACTTGATATATAAAACAGCGAAAATGATAGCCTTGTTTGTATTTTATTGTGATTTCTGATTTGACGAGCTTCAAAGCACACGCGAACAAAGTTGCGATGGGAAATGGTTGTATACAAGAAAGCATATACTTTAAATGCATTCAATTTTTATTTATTAATTATCTTATGCATTTTCAGCAAATAAATGAATATATAAGAAACTAAACTTGTCATCGAAGAACAGACTAAATCTTTCCAAATTCTTGATCAAACAAGTTTTTAATCATGTATAAGCCAGCTTTAAATTAACTGAACAATATATATTAAAAATTGTATTTGTCATATACTATTTACTTCACAAAGAATGTTTTTGGTTAACTCGTCTTATCATCATTGCCAATATAATTATTAAGAAACTGGCAACACGAGACAAGTTGTGACTTTGTATCTTAATCAAATAAATAATAAATTTTGATTGATAGTTTCCGTATTTTATTATTACATGGCAGCCTTTTTTTATTTTGACATGACGAGGAAATACGTGTACATAAAAGAGATTAATATTAAGTAAATAGAGTAAGAATATTATCAGAGATAAAGTTAATTAAATTACAACACTATTCAATACTCTTAAACAAACCATGAAATATGTAAATCATGAGAATCGAATAGTAAGGCAATGTTTAAAAATACGTTTAAAATATAAATTGATGAAGAAGTTAACTTTCTCTGCCTTTGGTATAAGAGAATATTACCCGTTCTGGCTTGAGCTAACTTTTTATATTTCAACTGTAAGCTTTTCGACCCATTAAAAAGTTGAACCAGCATTTTGACTCCCTGAAGTAGATTAATACATGTTAAAAAGAGGTTTTTTAAATTGATGTCGAAAATCGCAATCAAGAGTCAATCAGTCAGGAAAAACAATTTTATTAAAAGCCAGAACGTGTACCATAATTATTTAACATGAGTTCTTCGTGTGCCATAAATTTTGCAATTATTAATAATATCGAATAATTGATTATAATGTTAATTAGATTACTGGAATATGCAGGAGCTAGTGTGCAAAAAGCCATGCGATTAATTAATGCTGAATGCCCACATGCTATGCTGTTGTTGCAACATTAAAATTAATGGACAAAATTCAAATTGAAAGGCTGTCAGAGCTTCTATCTCTACCTCTCTCCCTATCTCTGTGTCACTCTCACAGTCTCTTTTAACAGCATGTGCCTAACGGATGCAACTTGTCTCGTGAGATATGAGTGTTATGACCCTCCTGTTGCCACTTAACACCCAACACGTGTCTCGGGTTAATTATAAGCAATTTGTAAAATTTTCGTGCCTTTATTTCTACTTGCAGCCAAACGCCCACCTGTCGAAGAGACTGCATCATTTTTGCAGAGCCTAATCGCCTCACATGGACCCAATTATCTGGAGAAACTTTTTGGCAGCAAGGCACGTGATGCCCTCTCCCCGTTGGGCGGTGTGGAAAAGGTGGCCATTGCTTTGAGCGAATCGCAAACGATTGAGGACTTCGGAGCCGCATTGCACCTAATGAGGTATGGTCAGAAACTTGAGTCCCTTCGCAATGCTCGGGGCGCAATTCATGCGCTTAGTTTTTTATCTCGAACCCTTTCGTAGATGTAGAACAATTTTAATTTAGTGCCTCCAGTAGCATAACATCCCATATAAATAATGAAAGCTCTTAAATAAACTTAACACAACCCCAAAGCTATTTTAACTTTTGGTAGTTTTTCCCTCTGCTGCTTGACAAAGGCACGGCTCCGCTTCTTCTGCTCGTGTGCACCCCAGTCCTGTCCCACTGGCCAGGTCTGGTGTTTTGTACAACATATCCAGCAGCGTCCTTGGCGATTCTCTTGAAATATACTTGTGTCCTTTACACCGCTTTTATAGTTCTCTGCGCTCCGCCACAAACAAGTTATGAAATTTTAAAATATCGTATGCTTACCCTTTTGCTTGTTTGCTTTTTGTCTGTGTCTGTTCTTTATTTGAATACTTTTTTGTGCGGTTGACAGTTTTGCACACGGGCTTTAAGGACTTCATCCCTACATTATACCCTGTGACCATAAAAATGTTTAAGAAGAGTGGAAGAATGTCGTGCCAATAAAGTTATGGGAAGATGGCCAGTTATATACTATGTATATACATTATTTTTTCGAGGCTTCCAATATTCTTATAATTGACTTAATTAAAAAAAAACTAAGGTATCTGGTGTTCGAGCCTTTACAACAACCGAATATTTGATAATTAAACTTATGCTTACTTAAAGTTTGCATATTTCCACATGCATGGGCAGTTGTTTGTGTAAAGGACTTTTTAGGAATTGCAGAAGAATAACAATTAATAGCGCTGTAGTCGGGTGTGCCCGACTAGAAGATTCCCAGGCTACGATGCAGATGTGCTTATACTCGCCTTGGATCTACAGCATGAGAAATGCTTGCCTGATTTACTTCGGTGCCCTTTGTCCGATCTTAATGTAATTTAGAGCATAAATATAATATCAAATGTATGCAAATAATAAGAGCTGGAAATTTACATCCAAAAGTATTAGTTTTTCTGTCAATTCTTGGGGAACTAGATAAATTTAACTAAATGAAATATTCTGCAATTTGTATGTTTTTGGTATCTCTAGCTCTAGCAGCTATTGATGCTAACCAAGATTATATAGATAATATATATATATATGTATTTATTCTATGCAAGCAAATACTCCTTCTGCCTGTTACATACCGACCGAAGCGGCCATTGGGGGAAATTTTCATTAAATTAGAATAATAAAAACTAACCACAAAACAAAACGGCAGTAGCAATGAGATTTACCCAAAAATGGCAGTTGCTCGGTCGTACAATTAACTGAAGTGTAGCTAATTGTGGACAGGCTAGACCCATAAAGACCCCCGACAAACAGGCTGATTAATTGGCAAAAACTCTCGAGCCTAACTAGTAGACCTGCTCTCTGTACGGCTGCTCCTCCTCGTTTGCTGGTACTTACAAAATTTCATCAACTCAATTAATCGTACCCAAACCGAAAGCTTGGAATGCTTGGGAAAGCACTTCACTCGGCAGGGGCAGGATATGGGCTCGGGTCGAATGTAGTTCAACATCAACTAATTACGCAATTACATTTTCAATGGATTTATTTTAAATTTTTAATTCTTTCGAGCTATACCTGTCCGACTGAGAAGCATTAGTTTGAATGTCAATTAACTTACAAAGGCATCGTAATAGTTCATCTATATATAAAAAACTGTTCGTCCTGACAGTTAGCTTATATGAAGTAAGCTGAAGTAAGTGCATGCGAAGATGATATTTTGAAAATTCCTCAATCGCGGAGATTGGTTTTATGAAACTTCCGGCTTTTCTGAGCGACTTCAAAGCTATACTTAAAGATCTTAATACCTTATTCCACAGTCTTTGATTTGGATTCTTTGTCTTTGGATTCCAGCGCATAATAGAACAAATTGAATCTTTAAAGATCTTTGCAAATATTCATTTGAATATTGTTTCACACTATTTCGCAAAATTAAGCCCTCCTGGTTGGAAAGTTTTTAGGTGGCCAAAGTTTCTGGATCAAGCACATTTCCAAGGAATTTTATGAGACGTGTTTCACAAGAGCCACCCGTGCTGGGTGGAAAAGGGAAGTCGAAAGTTGTATCTTAATAGGCTTCAAGGCTTTTCTTAGTAGAAGAACGCGCAAGTGGTTTCACACTTTTTGAAATTCACACCGCTGGGCTGAAGTGGGCGGAAAATGTAGATAGCAACTTTCGGATTTCAAACTCATTTTAAATTATAGACAAATATTGAAGCTAACAACTTTGCCCAGGCATAGCCGTGGTATGCCAGTACATAAAAATTTCACTTTTTGGATACACTCCACTCCCACCAGCACATAACTGAAAAGTATCAATTTTAAAATAAAAAGCCGCTCGTTTTTTGTTCATTTCGATAGAATATTTATGCCCTTCATACTTCAATGAAGGTGGAAAATAATAAGTTATTCCACATTAAATTTAAAATAATTGGGCGCAGGCGGAAAAAGTAGAGCTGCCATTATTTCCTTTAGGAATGCAATTTTAAACAATGCATCCAAATCCGTAGTTTAAATATAGCATTATTGTAAATAAGTCCGATATGCCTGATATTTTTATTTAGGCGTTTGATAGATTTGAAAATGCCCACAGCCAATTTTTTTCCATTTCGTCCATTCCATTGAGCGTCTCTTCTTTCTACTGAGGACATACGCACTAGGCCCTGTGAAACAGTTAAAACAAAATGTGAATGTAAATGATTATAAACAATTGTAAATATGTGAGGTAACAATATTTATGAGGAGCAAAGTCGGATAATGAGTAAAGCGTGAGGTTCATGCATTAGATATACAGACATCAAGCATTGCTCTACGATTAATTAAAGAAGCAAGATTAATCAGAAGTCTACTGGAGTAACTTTACGAATTAGTTGTACTTTAGTTGTAAATTTATGCACCAAATTTGTTAGCAATGTTGCCTTTACTGTAGCTCTTGCTTGTATTATCATCATGAGCAGGAAATTACCCTATTAATGAACCCAAGTATAGAGTTATCAACATCTATTACAGAGTTTATTTTGTTTAAAATAGAAAACAACTAAATTTGAATACTCTTTTTTTTTGCAGATCTGACTTGGAGCATTTACGTTCCGTTTTTATGGCTGTGGAGAATGGCGATCTTGGCATGTTGAAGTCGCTTGGCATCAAGGACTCGGAACTGGGTGATGTGAAGTTCTTTTTGGAGAAATTGGTCAACACCGGTTTCCTTGACTGAGTAGCGCCGGATCCGGCTTCTGGATTTTATTATGCACACGCACAGCCCATCAATCCTAATTTCTATTCATATTTGGGCACGCCCTATGATAATTACAATTATTAGAAAGGTGTTGCAGCAAATCTATACATTCAACGCAAAACCAATACACACTAATAAACATACACAAATCCAGACACGAACACACTCATACATCTAATATTTTCTCAAAACTTTCGCAGTTCTAATATGTTTCCAAAATAAGTCCTAAGTTTTATGCTTCTTCTTGCCCATCCAACTCTTGATTTGCTTTCAATTTTAAAACATCTTTTTTAGAAAAAAAAAACCACAAAATATAAAAAAAATGAAAAATATTACAAAAGAACAAAAAAACGCTACTCTGCAAAAATATGTTGGTCAATTGCAAAAATATACCAAAACGAAAATTGATCGGCTTCTCAACTATATCAAGTACTTTCTCCCAATTCTTCTGCGCTCTTTCAATCGGTCTGCATTCTTAGCTCTTAGTTCGTTTGTGTTGGAAAACTTCGTCAAATTTTGAGAAAATTAACGCGCAACTTTCAGTAACTAACTCAAATTTTCAAGAAAAATGAAAACATTACAAAAAAAAATTCACGAAAAAGTAAAAGCAAAATGTAGAAGCGGGATCGTTCGGCAAAAGTAAACAGAGGGAAAAAAAAGAAGAAAAAAAAACATAAATATTTATAAAATGATATCTTTCTTATATGTGTATACTGACTTTATTAATGGATTTGTAAGTGTTTCAAGATGCCTCACTAAAAATCTAGTTTCAATCCCCAAAAACACACTCAAGGTATTCACACAAAGCAGAAATCCTACAAGTATTGTACGTTTCAGCAGCAAAGAAACCAAGGCTATCAGTACAGAACCTTCCAAGAAATAATGCTTAATATCGACCCCACAAGAGTACGTTTAAATTTTAGAAAATTCTTTTCTATATACACACATTTATGTCTATTTATATAGTATATACATATTGGGACATATCGTCTAGAGCTTAGAGTATAAACCACTAGCAAGCCCTGCAGCTATTGTTGTTCTTAAATTGAAGACGTGTAGACAAGCATTCAATGTTTCAATTTGCAACTATGCGAAATACATATATATTTATTATTATAATAAGATAAATAATCGCAAATGTCGGGCTACTGTACACAATGCAATAGCTGAAAAAACAATTGTCGAGTTGCATAATTGATAAATATTTAATGTTTGGAAACTAGTTAAACAACTGGTAAATAAATAAACATTCTTATCACAATATTAACCTTGCTTAAATTGAGGAAAATGTGTGTTAGCTTATTAAACGTTTTAGCACAAGACCTGTCTATCAATTAATAAACAATTAAAATAAAATAAATATATAAAAAGTATAGTAACCAAAATGAAGCTCATGAGATTACAGTTTTTAGCAGCCAATTTTGTTTTATTTTGACTCAAAAACTGACCCTCAAACCGATCTAAAAAAAAAGATATAACAATGGTATCTAGAAAAACAAGAACAAAATTGGCTTCTAAAACTATATTTAGCACTAATCTAAATTTTATCTTTGACTAATATGAAAGAAAATGAAATCCACCCACATAGCTTATGTCTAGGCCCCTTCGGGTAGTTAATATGAGATGAAAAAGCACGGAATTGTTAAAACGCAGTGAAAGTAACTAAGCACATTCCATACGAGAAGTGTGCTCTAAGGTATTTCAGTCCAATTCAAATCGAGTATCGAACCCAACGTTTTAACGGCAGATCATGTACGAAAGGCGAGCAGATAGCTAAAAAAAAAACTAAAAAAAAATAGAGAGAAAAAAAAACACTTAATAATGGAGTTATAAGTACCTTGAATTAGCTGGTAGAAACGCGTATTAAACCAACTATTGATAGAAAAACCAAATTTAAAAACGAAATAATTTATAAACAATTTTATTTGATGTTTCTCTTTATTGCTAATTGTCTATTTAAATGCTTGAAAAGAAGTACTTATGTGTACACAATATATAGAAACATGATTCAAAGATTCAATTAAGAGTGGTATTAAAAGAAATATAAAAATAACAGATCCATTGAACTATATATATATATATATATATATATATATAATATACGTATATTTATGTATATGATTAAGTATATAAACAAGCAACGTATATAATAATAGTAGTATGAACACATACATATCACTTATAAATGTGTATGTATGTATACATGTGTATATGCCCCGTGTAAATAAAGAGACAAGCTACATATTTCATATGGATGCAAATGGACGTAGAACGCGAACAAAACGAAATAAAAAAATCCAAAAAAAAAAATACTACAAGTGATAATTTGATTATTTTTTATGAATACAATTATAACATTTGGCATATGTATTGTTATATATATCCAATGATTCAACACTTTTATATATCGTTTACTCGAAACCTATCAAAACTCCTAACATACACATACATATCTATGCAATTTTGCAGCAATTATGCGTTTCTTTGTGCATATTTTTGAACAATTTTAATATTTATTATACAAACCTAGTACTATATATACGATATTATAAGTAAGCCACAAAACTATATCACATACATATCAGCGAATTCGCTATCGATGTTTAAAAACGCTACAAAACCAAAAAAAAAAATACAACGTAAATTAAATACGGCAAATAGAAAACGGATTAAAATCTATAATTAAGCAAATATGCTACATATCAATATACAAATGAAAACATATCAAATATGCGTACGAAGAAAACAAAAGCGAAGCAAAATAAATAATTGTGAAAGAACTTCAAATTCAAACTATATTTACGAAAAAAAATACAATCTTAAACATAAACCTATACCAAACAAATTCACTTAAAATATTCTTAACTATACTTTCGTTCGACTTCTTTTTTTAATTTGTATTCTTTTCCTAACCGTTTTTGTAACTTGTTTCAGTGTTTTAAGCCCAAAACTGACCCAAAACAAATTAAAATGCTGAAACAATTCTACAAAGCAATCCGCAAAATGCAAAAAATAAACAACTTTTACAATTAAAAATATTGCCTAAATTTGATATTTTCTTTTCCATTTTTTTCTCCAACTACCACAGCATGAAATAGTTGCACCCATGCATACAATACGTATATGTATGTGTGAGTATCTCTATAAGAATTACCAATAAACATATCTGAAAGTGTTAGCAAAACTATTGCAGCAAACAAGAGTTAAGTACTCTTCAAAAATCACACAAAAAAATAAAAACAAACAAAAAATATTGAATTAAAACCAAACTTGGATCCAATTGCAAACGGAAAAAACATTATATCGTATATTGAAAATAAATTAAATATATAACAAAATTCTATGTGTATATGAATATAGATTGAAATGCAAACAAAAACTTAAATACAATTTTGAACATTCCAATGAAGCTATTTCTTTGGTGTGCTGTTTTAAAAACAATTACATGGTTTTACTTAACATAAAAGGGTTTCAAAACAAATTAAAAATATAGACGAGAAAGTAAGTATATCTTCCCTTTTGCAGATATGTGAGTATAGTGAAACTCGAAAATGCTGAGTTTGGTGGAGATGAAAATATCTGTAAAAACAAACTGTAAGATACTACTATTCCACTTATCTTTTATCTTAAGATGCTATATGATATAATGGTCCGATGTTGATAAGATTTTGCAAATGTGTAGGGAGCATAGTGAAACTTATAAGTGCGGAGTTTGGGTAAGATATCTTGATAAACAAAAAAAATGTTTTCCATACAAGCACTTAATTTTCGACGAAGATCTAATACCCTTGTAGACATTTCCCTTTTGCAGATATGTAAGTATAGTGAATCTCAAAAATGCTGAGTTTGTTGACAATATTTTTGAAAACAGATATTTTTGCGATATAAGATACTTCTACTATACTAGCTGCTGTATAATGGTTCGATATTGATAAGATTCTGCAAGCTTATAAATGCCGGTAAGATATCTTGATAGACAAAAAGTTTTTTATACAAGAATAGCGATAATAATAATAATATTTTAATATTTTAAAGCACACTCAGATCTACTGTTGAAAATTTCAGCAAGATTAAGAAGCACAGAAGTTATTGACAAGCCGCGTGTTAGCGGAAGCTACCACAAACTGCAAGAATTTCTATACGAGTGCGAGCTGCATTTGCTGTTGGTAGAAGAAGGTTCAGGGTATCCCCTAGTCGGCCAGTCTTACTTATTTTCTTTATGAAAATTGATTCTGTTCAACATAGCCTTTAATCATCTTCGACTAAATTTGGATTTGTAATTAATTTATATTCAAAATGCTCATAAATTTGTTAAAATTGGCCCAACCTAAAATTTGTCACACAAGTTTATCAAGGTTTCTATCTTTTTATTTCCTTAAAATTTTAAACTCTAAATTTCCTCTAAATCATCTAAGTTTCTTTAAAATAAACATTTTTTAAATTTTTAAATGTCTTTGACTGCTATGCTCAGCATTTTATCGCATTTGGCACTGAAATTTTGTACAATTTGTATCTCCATATAAAATGCATTGCAGAACTACTCCCCTTACTAAGACTTCATCTAATCTTCCCTTTTTTAAAAAAAAATGTATTTTCAAACTAATATAGCTAATCTAGAGTTAGGCTTAAATTAAGAGTTAATATACAAAAGTTCTTTCATACATTTCCTGACATAGCTTTGTCTTTTTTTTCAGGCAGTACATGAGTCGAAATTGGCAATGATTAGCAATGATCGCTAATCTGTTAAATTCTTGAATGAAAAACTTTGTTGTTTTCTTTAAATATCTTATTGAGAATCAAAATATTGCCGAGTTATAATTAATTGAAAATTGAGCTATCAGTAAGCTGTTGATGGGCTTTACTTGTTTCGATACGTGTATGGAACAAGTTTGAATTCAAGAAGAGCGATAAGATACGGCGTTCCGGGCCGTTCGGAATCTCCCACAATTTAATACCCTCACACACTTCCACCTTTACTTTCGCCCAAACAAGTGAATAGAGAGAGCGAGAGGGAGACAGACTTGTAGGAACATTATGATAGCATCTAAGTTAACAGTTGAGAGCGTTTGCTGGGCGATCTCTTTGCAAATAGAACGTTTGGTTTCTGTATTAAAAAAAAAATGTTTATAAGTATTCTAATCAGTTGGGAGACGTTTGCATTGCGTTTCTCATTTGTGCTTATGATAGCCTTCGTAGAAATTTTATTTACTCGCCGTTGATTAGAGGCTCTCAGCAACTGTCGCGTTAGTCGTACTTCATATTTTAGCGCATTCGGTCATCGGTTCAGGTGGGCGCTATTAAAGGTCGGCTTTTGGCTCACGCTGATGCAGTTTGCGATGTAATAAATCTAAGTGATTTTACCTATTGCCAATCAAATGCTCTAAAAAAGCGAAAGTTTGATAACAACCTAGCCCAATCCAGTAATTGCAGTGTCCGTGACCGTAGGCGTCGCAGGTCCAAACAAGCACATATATTTTCCGAGATGCCCAAAAGTATGTGATAGTGTTTATTCAGGCATCAAAAGTTATTTAAGAAGTAAATAAGTAGTACATGATTTATTAGGAACAGTTGATTGGTTCCTTTAAATTGTAATAAATGTAAATTTTTCCCTTTGTTAATCGAAAGTTATAAGATATAAAATAATAGTACGACAGTGAAACTATAAACCATGCACGATCCCAGCGATTATGATTCAGTCTACAGCGAGGAGGATTTCTTGGATATTGTTCAGGGCGCCACAACCCCGCCCTTGATGAACTACGATGAGTTTCTAGTAAAAACGATGGGTGAGTCTTTTTTTTTTTAATTAAGTATGCATATACAATGAATATAGGTTTATATATGTAGGTGTATGTATGCGGCAGTTCACATTAGAGCTGTCTACACCTGTAGACGCTTATCTTATGTTTACCATGGCTTTAAATTTTGATAAAATGCCGTTGCGCTGAAGCTTTTGCAGAGTATGTGAAAAGTCTGGCAGTTATATATGCATATAAGACAAGTATATATCTTGATATATGTACATATAGCATAGTAAATTACCTGAATGTATTCGAATATCTTTGTACTACAAATTAATTAATAATACTTGAAAGTATACATATATACCATATATAAAACTGTTCCAAACCAAGTTCAGTCCCAAATTGACTTTTTTCTATGCCTATCAATTATTTCCAATTCGATTTAAATTGATCATTTTGATGGCAGATCCATGCAACGCGCCAAAATGAAAATGGAACAGTTGAGCTGCTGTGCGCTCTCAGAGAGAAACTGTTAGTCAACAGTTAAACAATCAGATTAAAAGCCGAAGCCAACATACTCTTATAGAAATTAACTGGTATAAAATAACTTAAATAATAATAATAATAAATAATTTATAATTATGTATTACTATCTACACATCATTAATAACCTTTTTTATGTATGTAAACTTATTTATAACTTTATTCAAACAAAGTATATAAATAAATTGATTGTACTGGCTGGCCAAAGAATAGCAGTGTGTAATGGTAATATACTCTCATGTTAACAGAACCCTCTTCTGCACATTTTGTACCCGCTCTCATTTTCCTGATCAGTGTTGCCAGTTAAGACTAGCTTTTTTTAAGTGGGATATTTCTAGCCATTTCCATTGCATATGATTTTGTTGTTGTTGTAATATAACAAAAGCGAAACAATAAAATTTAAGGAAATATACTGAAATGATCAACAATTACACAAAAATTCCTTTGTTATATACATCGTTCGTCGTTTTGTGTTTAATTTTTGGCTATTTTTTAGCTAGACTTTGCTGCCTCTCAAAAAAAGCCAGCACTGTCGCTCACTCTCAAGATCGGTTTGCCCCAATCAGACAGTCACGACAGCGCAGCCGCGCGAGAAACTTCGTTTTAAGTGCGCGGAAGGTTTTTCGTTTTATGGTAGAGGTAAAGACAAGAAAAAAAAACAACAAAAACGCAAAGAAGAAGCAGCGCAAAAGGGTAGCAATAAAAAGTGTATAAAGCACCGCTTTGCTTTGCGATATTAACCATAAAAGTGGCTCGAAATGTTTAATTAAAAGTATATAATCAAAATGTGCGCACAGCACGATTTGGCTCAAAGGCAGTGCAAAAATTCAATTAAATGTGGACGCCGACGTTGACGCCATCGTAGGCTGCGACGCAACAAGTTCAAGTGTAGTGTTTGTGTTGTTGCCAACAAGCGACAAGTTGTTTTAAACCAATTTAATATTATAGTGTTCAAAAGTGATTTATTTAAGTGATATACAAATATATAGATAGCTATATTTGTATTCCATAGGCCAATATGCGTTTGAGTGTTTAGTTGCAGCGCAAAAACAAATTTTTTTTTGGCATTTTTGTCTTCAACTCTTTTTCTTGATCCCACACACACACATACATTCATGTACAAAATCATACATACACACATGAACGCACACAAGCACATAAATTGTAGTTGTTTTTACTGGCTGATTCTTTGACTCACAAATTACCCGAGACGGCAACAGCGACGTCAGCAGAGTTAGCGGCAGTGAAACTGTTGTCTGTTCCACAATTCCATTGTTTCATATCTGGTTTTCCCTTTCCATGCGCGTGCTTATTGGAATGTGAGCGGCGTATTCCCTACACGTTCCATTTGCCAGCCATACCGCTAGCTTCAACCCGGTGTTTGTTTTCTGATCGAGCAGCAGAACAAGAGAGCGCAAGCGAAGCAACCACCTGTGCTGCTCTCGCTCTCTCTTGCTGCGATAAGAAATACACAAACTAAAAAACGGACTGCACTATCAAAATAAACAAACAGCAACAAAAACAACAAACTAAAAACCATGTTAAATTAACCAGCGAACAACAAATGGCATGCAAACAAACAAGAAACTCATTAAGGCAATAGCCCTGTGCCGTTTAACGGTAGTTTGTTGTTCTCGCCCGCTCGCTCGTATTGCTTTCGTATTTGTGTATGTGTATGTGTGTTTGTTTCGGCGTGTTTGGTTTTAATTTTTTCTCTGTTTATTTTGCTTTTGCAAACATCAAATTCAAGGCTGGTACGCTGCAGGTGTCAGTTTTTATAACTTCTTTCCCATCAAATTTGCCACCTCATATTTACCAAATACATTTTTTTTTAGAAATCCATGGCGCGCCTTTATTTTTAATAATTATCGCGAAATATTACGAAACAGCAAATCAAGTGAAAAAGTGTAAAGAATGCCAACGAAAAAGCTATAAATAAAGTTTGAGGTCTGATAAAAAAGGCTATGTGATTCAACGATTTTACATTTATAATCTTGAAATAAGTAAATTACGTGTTTTAAACGCAACGAAGTTTTGGATTCCAAACAATTTTTAATAAAAGCGATTTACGAAAATGGAACCAGCTATTTTAATTGGTAAGTCGGCGGTTATTTAGATCTCCGCGTGGATATTTAGGTTTCTATTTATAAAATTATCTTGTAACACAGCATAATATATAATGTTTTAAGGATAGGACATTTATTTCTTACGAGGACACCGCATGTAAAACAAATTTAATTTTCAAGCTCTTGATAATGAATGAAATTAAATCTCAAGAGTTATTTGGGAACTTATCTTTTTTTGGTACTAACAAATGAGGAAAATTATTTCTTTACTTCTTTGTGTCTTCTTTTCTTTTAAACTTTTTAAAGTTTTACTCTTATTTTAGCTTTTTATTAAGGGCGACTTTATATGAGCTGTCAATTCGCAACCGTTTTTCATGATCGAAGATAAATATTCTTCCCCTTTTACATATTGTCCATATTCCCTATTGCCCATTCGCTATTGCTTCTGCTGCTGTATTGAATCCTAAGTGATCGCAGGTTGGATATCATCAAAATTGATGATCGCATTGCCAGGGAATTTCAATTAATGATCTGGTAGCTAGACATGTAATCATTAACAAATTACGGCCTGCACTTAGGAAGCTCCACACCAAATGGAAAACCATTAAAAAAGCTGCGCAAACAAATTGCAACTTGTAATCTTTTTCCTTTTTTTTTTCTGGGCGTGAGCATTTTTTTTTTCACTCGCTGCTCCACATTCAACGCAGTCGGACAGACAGACAGACACGTGTAGCCAAATGCAAATGCGCATTCGCATTCCGCAGCAGACAGAGCCAGCAGCTGGTTGTCGCAGACAAACCAGAGACATAGATATGTACATATGTATGTGTATGTATGTGTATATGTGTAGGTATATACATACATATGCATGCAGCCCAAACTGAAACCCACACACGAATTGTGGCAAATGGCAAGCGCGAATTGCTGCGGCTCGATACCAAATCGAGTCTCAATTACCGATAGACCCAAACACTCTGCCCACAAGCCTCACAGCGGTCGGATCTCATTAGAGCGCGGGTTACGCAGCGGCAAGAGGGGATATGCTTGTATGTGTGTGTGTGTATTTGGATATTACTGTTGTGGTGTTTATAAAGCGTAACCGCCTAAGCCGGCAATTGGACCACGCCCGCTAGTTGTCTGATCATTAAATGCTCGGCCAAATGAGCTATGCGAGAAATGCAGATGCCCAATTTGCCTATGTGTGTGCGTGTGTGCGCGCGTGTGTGTGTGTGTGAATGGGGTGTGTGCCCGTGCCGGGCGTGTGCAACATGTGGTCGCAATCGTGGTCGGATGCTTGCTGACATTTCTCTGGGCTGGTGCAAAGAAATTGTTTTTCCAGAAATTAAACTCAAATGAGGGCACGAGTATCGGGCGCCTCTCTGCTTCTTCCTCTTCATTATTTTTTTTTCTCTTGTCAATGGGGTTAATATAACCGGGTCTGCAGGGTGTGTTCGGAAACGCTGAAGCTAAATTAAACGAAGCTGAAAAAGCTGTCGCACAATTTTGGATAACTAATGTTATAAATTTATGCTGTCTTAAAGAGCTCTGATGTGCTTGTTATCTGTTCGACATGTTAATACACACATTTATTTTGAATGCATATGTATATACATATGTATATCTATATATAAAACTGTTTGACTAACTGACAACTGATTGGTAATCAACGCACAACCACTAAACATAGAACATATGTATTTTCTATGTCCAAACCGTAAGAGCTAGGAAGCTGAACAAAAATTTGCACTGTAGTTATGTTATGTCATTAAGGCGCACGTTAAGACGGCCTTGCCGCGGTACGTTTAAAATAAATTCTCTCAAAGATCTTTGAAAATGAGTTTGAATCCGATCGGACGGCAAGCTAATTAACTACTGTTGCTAAATCGGTGAAACACGTATTCATTAAGTGCTTATGTAAAGCTTTGAATATTAGTTTCGCACAATACCCAAAAACAAGAATAATGTCGCCAGATTAAGATGCCAAATTAATCTAAGGGCCAATCATTGAAAAAAAAGCCAAACCTTATGAAGATCGGTTGAGTTTTGACCGAATTATGGGAGTCGGAATTTTTACCTATGTCTATATAGGATATTTGAGGGTACCCTTTTCATATGAATTTTGACCAAGAATAATGTTACCAGATTTAGTTGACAAATTGATTAAGAGGCCAAAAAATAAACAAAAAGCCAAACCTCGTGAAAATCGGATGAGATTTGACCGAGTTATGGAGGTAGGAATTTTTGACCTATGTCTATATAGGATATTTGAGGCTACCATTTTCACATGAATTTCGACCAATAATAGTGTTGCCAGATTTAGATGCCAAATTGATCTAGAGGTCAAACCATGAACAAAAAGCCAAACCTTATGAAAATCGATTGAGTTTTTACCGAGCTATGAGGGTGGGAAATATTGACCTATGTATAAAGAGGATAATGGCGGGTATACCCCGGCCTCGCCCGTGGCACATTTAAAATAAATTCTCTCAAACATTTTTCGAAAATGAGTTTTAAACCGATCGGAGGGTAAACAAAAAATTTTCATACAAACGTTTTACGCGATTTATCCACACATGCTGATGGATTTCCCGAAACCCCTCAACATGCATCATCACATAAGGTCACTATAGTGTGAATTTCAGATTACTAGCTTTTACGCTTTGGGCTGTGCGTTGATCAGTCAGTCAATCTTCAGTCAGTCTATCAGTCAGTCAGTCAGTCAGGACAAACAGTTTTCGATATAGAGATATATATACAGATTATATATATGCAGATGTCGCCATTTGACTTTGGCAACCATTTTCACACTCTAATTTATGGCTTCGTAACCCAAACATTTTTACACCCTAATTAAAGCCTTTCCTTCCACTTGGGATGGCAACAAAGCATAAAGCTTTTTTATGTGGCAGCACGTAAATGAATTCCTGTAATTTTATGTTCATGTTTGTATATATACCAAAACAAACAGTCGTTGGAAGTTGATATTCACATATCGCTCAGTTGTTCAGCAAAATTTCAAATATCTTTTTACTACCGAGTCTTTTTGTGTGTTTCTTTATAAGAGATGAGCAGCTAAAACGCTTCGACAAACATTCTTACTTTTAAATATTTGAAAGCGGAAAAATTTGTTTGTATAATGTTTATTTCCATTACAATGTCAATAGTTATTCACTCGCAAATTTTATTTATTTTTATATTCCTAATTATGACTTTCATTGTCAATTGTGAAATATTAGCTTGCAATTTATTTTGTAATGTTTGCATATTTATAAGCCAAACATATTTTTAAAAACTTACCAGTAAATACAATAATAAGAAATTCAACTAAATTTATAATATACATAATTGTTTTTATGTTCTTCTTTGCAACTGTCTAAAAATAAAATGAAATTAAATTATCGGAAAATCTTGAATAAGTGGTCAAGTGTATTCCATTCGACATTTACGATGACAAATGGCGAATTTTCCAACCAACTGTGAGCTTAGTATTTGCTTGGCCCACTCTAAAGTACTTGAGGTTGAGAGTTCTATCAGCAACAAACTTGTCTTAGTAATTGTGTTCGAACGTGACTTTTCATTGTCTTACGTATTTACAGATGAGTCCAAGTATATACATATGTATGTACATATTTTTAAGCTAATACACAGCTGGGCAGTGTATAAACCTTTAACAAGTTGTTGTGGCTGTTGCTGTTGTAACAGAAAATAAACATTGAAACGACTGTCAACAGGCGTAAATACAAATTATCGTTAGCTGGCAACGAAAGTTCTCCCCCACATTTACTGGAGACGAGCAGTTTTCATGTGTTTCCATGTACAATGTCTAATTAGAAAGTTTGCCCACCCAATAAGGCAAATTGAATGGCTCGGTAATGCGACAAAGCAATCAAGGTAAAAGCAAAAGCTGTGCGCATCTCGAGACTGAGTGAATGTTTGCAAAACTCACCTGACCATAAATGTTAGTATCCATTGGCTTTGACTCGCAGTTTTGACTTTGACGCCAAGACAAGTACGAGAAACCGCGTTGAAGCGTCACAAATCATCGACTGCAGTGCAAATCTAATCATTTACAACGTTACCATACACGTTTATACCCTCAACTCGTTGATAATGGTTAAATGGTATTGTGGAAATGTGTCTAACAGACAGAAGGAGCCAATTCCGCCCCCATCAAGCATATATCTTCTAGCCGAGAAGATTATGCCATGTCGCGTCGATCTCAGGGACTATAAAAGCCAGAGACTTTAAATTCGGAATGTAGCTCCTCCGTTCGTCTAGGCAGATCAATAATGATAATAATAATTGCCAACCTGCCCAGTTTCCATTAAATCGATAAAAATCTATATCGAAATCCGTTTTTTCAACGTATCTCTTAGCTTATAAAAGATGTTGACTTTCTTTTATTATAGCCAGATCCAGATTATTTATTTTTTTTTGGAAACCTCCTCCGATCCGCAGAAAAAAGCACCTCAAAGTCTTGAAAGGACACCCATATTTAAGCCCTACAAATTTTATAAGGTTCGGACACTAAGCCCCAAAGTGTATGGTCAATTTTGAAAGAAGAACCGCAGCTTATGCAGCTAAGATCCATAGCTTGCGGGCTGCGATCGTGTGTGTAAAGACGTAAACAAGACAGGCAGGGTATCTCCAAGTCGGACAGTTCGAACATAAGCATGCACGTGTAGTTGTATGCAGCTGAGCAACGATATCAGTTTAAAGTTCCCTTTCTCTTTTATGATCATATATAATTTCTTTGCATTCGCTTCGTTGCACGCAATATCGATTAATGTGACTGATAAGTCTGTTTGATGAATTGATGATGAATTGAATTAATATTAAGGGTAGTGCCTCGAACGTTGCTTGCGGCCCATACTGATTGATTGCTTACATTGATTGAGCTTGGGGCCGCGAGCTATTGCAGCACTCTGACCGCAACTGGGATGGGGGCTGGGCACGCGAAAGCCAAAGATCGCATTCACTTTTAGCGCGATAATAGATAAACTGTTAGATGAATTACTTGGTGAAATTAC